GTTTTAGATCTAATTGTAAGCATTAATTTTATCAATATAATATGGCAGGAAAACTGGTCTTGTTCTTACAAATAGAAATAAAGCGCTGATGCTAACACTTTTTTTCTTTTTAACAAGTTGAATGCCATGTCGGTAGGGCACATATCAATAATGCTGAAACTTTCTGAGTTTGTTCGTAGCTCCACGGGGGTGATCGGTGAAGCCAAGATTATTCGAAATACATAATTCGATTAAATTTTGTTTATATTATTATCGTTACTAAAATGAGTTGAAAAAATTAATGCAATATGGAACACACAAAAATAGTTTTATTTATATACGCAGAGATGTTAACTTGCTCCGAACAGCGAATAAATATTTTCAAGTGTTAATTTATTAATTGTGATTCTTGGTTTAATAAATTGAATTAAGTAGATTTTTATCCACCACTTTTTTTAAGCAATTCGTAGGCTTATATAATTCACCATTTTTTTCAGAACTGTCATACTAAACCTTTTAAGAACTTGCAAAATCGATCTAATATTTGCAAATCTAGTTTGTAGTTATTTACCATTTGGCCAGACGGGCAAGCCATGTATTAAAAAAGGAAACCATCTCAATATTAAGATGCTAGACTTAAATAAGTTAGGAAGAACTTTTATATGAAAAAAACTGAAGTTAAGTATACAATTAGATTATTTCGCTTCTATGGAATATCCTTAGAACTGAAATAAAAGTACTGTGTGGAGATTAATTGTGGATTATTTGAATACAGATAAAAATTTCTTGACGAATTTATTATTTAATTTCCCATATTATTGTATATTTCTTTAGAGATATTTGGCTAATACTAGATATTTTTTGAACATGTTAATGATATTTTTCAATTCATTATCATTCTAATTCCAGTTTCTTCCCTATTTCTATTTTATCAGTTTTCTCTTATTTGGTTATCATATTGCATTGTTATTTTTTAAACTTTCCTTTCATTTTATTAATTTTTACTTCAATTTTTAACAATCTTTCTTTTATTTCCTGTTTTCAAAAGCAGGAAACACAAAACGTCTCTCTACGTTCAGCGCGTTATCTATTTTCCCATTGTTATTTAAATAAATACCGATATTTAATTTAATTGTAAAATAAAAATTAATATTTTGTTTCTCTATTATGTTGACTCTATGTGTTTTTCTGAAATTTATATTTCTTAGTTTATTTATAAACTTAACTTTAAAGAAAGTGCTACACTCTATCTTTTTCGGTTTGATAACAGGAAAATATCTAAAGTCAATTTGTATTTGCCATACATGACTTTTACGGGCTTTACTTTTTTTTTAACCCTTGGGACTTCACGTGGATTAAAATGTTGTTTGAACTGTTATATACGGATTCAATTCTCAAAAATGTATGATAAATTTCTCTCAAATACTTTTAAAATAGAATCTGTGTTTATGCGCACAACTGGTTCACTTTTTAAATACTCTGCGCAGACTACTTATAAAAAACAGTGTGGAGGCTTTCTGATATTAGGCGATGCTCAGTGGCTACATCGGAGTGCAGATGTTAAATGCAGGCAAAGGGTTGAGATAAAAGTTTATTTTACTTTTGCGGGTAGCACCTTCGTTGCCGATCACGCGATATCGCGAGATAAAATTAATACGTGCAGTTTGTGTCAATAAAGCACATAAAGCCTTTGCAATATGCATATTATCATTCAACTACTTGAACTATTTTTTCAGAAAGTATGATTTTTTCTCATGAGAATAATATATTGTTCGTTAAAATACACAGATTGTAAAATTTTAAAACTAAAATGGTTTGCTGAAATAAGAAAATTTAACTTTGATTTTATCTTTAGATAACCACTCTCCAATGATAGATTTCAGAATGAGATAAAGATATTTAAATTACTAATATACCAAGTCATACAAATATATTGTTTTCGAAAGTTAATTGTAATTAAGGAAACAATTAATTTACCGATACGTGCTAAAGTGCTTTTTTAAAAAAATATTGTTTCCGTAAAATTGGCGGTAAATGTGTTAAATAATGAAACTAAATAAAACTAGACTTAACCTTGATTTGAAAGCTCCAGATCCAACTATGGGAAATTATTTCCTAAAACTCAAAAATGTAACTGAATATTCAATAAAACTGAATTTTCGTAAAATTTTATTTTATAAAAATTACGCCTCATCTGAGTTTTTAAAAGTTTTAGTTTTGATATAATAATCAAACCAAAATAGGCCAGTTGAAATAATCATAACCTAACAAAATATTAATAATCAGAATAATCATAATCAGAGTAATTATAAAAAATCAGGGCAATCAAAGAAAAATACAGGTTTTGAAAAATATTAAAAATATACATGAATTATTGGAAAAACAATGAAATATTTAACAACTTGTGATTATTTGATCGTTGTCGAAATTAGAAATAACTGCTTGAATTAAAATTTAAATATCTTTCCATCTCAAATTATAATTTAATAAAAACCATAAGGTAAAATAAAACAGTAAAAAGTTAAAGAAAACTGAAAAAGATAAATGTAATGAGGATGAGACAATCAATCAAATTACAAATTGAAATTGTTTAAAGATGCAAACTTTAAAGTTCGAAATTATTTTAGAATTAATTTGGTTGAAGAAGGATTAGAAAAAATTGCTTCATTTTAAATTTTGAAATTAAAAAAATTTAAACCATTTTATTTAAAATCATATAAGTTAAAATTTTATGAAAACGATAAAAAAATTTTTTAAATACAAAACGCTAATATTTAGAATAATTGAAACTTCTTGTTGATAAGCAAAAGATACATAAAAATTTATTAATTAGTTTGAAAATAATTCCATAATTTCCTATTTATTATTTGGTTGTTTCTGTCTTTACAAATGTTGAAATTACTTATTATACAGGGACATAAAATTCTTAAAAAGTGGCTACGAAATTGAAATAGGTATTCATACTTTAAATATTCTTGACCATAACTACGAATACGTTTTTAAAGGAAATGTATGAAAATTCTAAATTTTCAGAACTTTAAACTTAAAAAGATTAAAATCTTTTTAACATTAACATAAACTTGCAATTACTGTTATAAGTGTAAGACTCATGGGTAAGTTTAAAAAAGTGGTGTCTAATATTTTATGAGGTCTAAATTTCAAAAGTTTTTATGTTCACTTTATTATGTATTAAGTTACACAATTTTAACAACTCTACATTCAAAGGTTGGATAAAAATATGGAAACTTTTTTATACTAATTCTATGTAAACAATCGTTCTTTTAGCAGAAAATGTTTTGGCAGATTTTTAATGGCAAAACTGTTGGCAGTTTGAAAGATCATGCTTACTATTTTACATTTTTACCCACACTCTGTTCAACCAAAATGAGGAAAGGAAGTTAATAAATTCTTTTTAGTTTTAATACCACCCATTTTAAAATAATTAAATAGCTTTGTGATATTTATATAAGAATGCTTTTAAAATTATAGTGATATTGAAAAAGTGTTAAAACGTTTTTAATTTCCATCGCTCATTTTCGTTGATGCTAATTTTATATGGGTAAAAAATACATCATTTCTATAAGTTTGAAGCATGTTCTTCCAAATTGTGACAACAGTTTTGCCATGGAAAATCTTCCAAAACCTTAGATTAGATAGCTGATAAAAAAATTGTTTCCATAGAGTTAGTATAGAAGTGCTTCCATATTTTTTGTTCAAACGCTGTAAATTCTTTTATTTTTTTAATGTATTTTGGTTGAAATCAGTCAGTAAAAACAATTTTCTCCAGTCTTATTTTATAACTTTTAAAATTTTTAGCCGGTTGTGGCTCACTTTAATTTCTGAGGAGGAGGAAAATAAAATACACAGTTGCAATAGTTCTTAAAATTTCACTCCGGATAAAAAAACAATAAAAAAAAATAATAAAATTTCTTCATTCTGCCAAATATCTGCAAATTGATTAATTATTTTTTAATTTGCTTAGCTTTCTTTTAAGTTAGCTAAATTTAATATTATGAAAATTCTCGAAATATTTTTTGTCTGAAATATAAGGATGGATTTTTTAAGACTTCTAAATATTGAGGGGGACAAATACCCCCCATTCTCCGTGCCAACGACACCACTGGGACTATCTCATGAACTTTTTTCAAAAATTTAAATCCCTGATAAATCAATTTTCAGATTCTGGAAATTTATCTGGCAGAAACAAGACATTCCTGCTCACTGTGAGACATTAATAAATTAACTATTTATATTTTTATCTAATATTAGTTGTCATCAACATTTTAAAAGTCAAGTGATAGCCAACCCTAGTATATATCAGATCTATTTTACTATAAATACCGTGACACATTTCTTATGAACCATTTCAGGGGAGGTGAAATAAAAAATGCCTCCCTTATTTTTGACAATAATAAAATCTATTAAATTTTATTTGTTTTTATCTCTTAAGTAAAGCAGTTTTTAATCAACAATTTTAAATTTTCAAATATAAACAGATAAAAGATAAAGAAAATAGCTTTTGTACAGACGTGCGAGGGATTAACACAATTCTTTTGGCTTTCAAACTTTTTACCCCGCGAAGAGTTAAGGTACTGTTTACAACACAACAAAATGCTGCGGAATAAAAAATGCCCCACTTATTTCTGACAATAATAAAAAACATTAAATTTTATTTGTTTTTATCTCTTAAGTAAAGCAGTTTTTAATCAACAATTTTACATTTTCAAAGATAAACAGATAAAAGATAAAGAAAATTGCTTTTGTACAGACGTGCGAGGGATTAACACAATTCTTTTGGCTTTCAAACTTTTTACCCCGCAAAGAGTTAAGGTACTGTTTACAACACAACAAAATGTTGCGGCATTTTTTAGGAAAAAACTTGTTATATTTAAACTATAAAACTTAAAACTTTAGATTAAGTTTTCACAGTTTTTACACTAATAATTTATTTTCCGATTTCTTCTCTTAAAAAAATAGCAATTAATTATTTTTTAAAAATTTTATTTAAATTTAATACTTACCCAATACTAAAAAAACAAGAAAGAAAAATTAATCCCTTGAGAAAACTTATCAACATCTTTATTTCTTCTGTGAGAAGAGGACATACCGTCACGTTAAGACCAAGATAGAAACATTCCCACTTCTTTTTAGTTTGTCTACGCGTGCGCCCTAAATATGACGTAAGAGTGCGTGCTTGAAGCTCGCTAATTGCTATGGCAATGCGAATTTTACCACGAATAAGAGAAATCCTGGATTGCTCACAAATGCACTTAGAGTTTAATATTCATTATGAGTTGGATAAAAACTGGGTGGAGTAGTTATAGCGTCTGTTGAGTTAAATTGTTTTCAGTAGCTCATATTTTCTGCACTCTAGACAAATTAGTTTTGGAGCTTATAATAATAAGTCATTATGTGAAGAAATGTTGTTTCACCGTAATCAGCTTTTCAATCATTTTGCTTATTTAATATTAATGAAAATTATAACTAAGCGATCTAATGATATGGGTGAATTTGATGATAATTTTTCATTACGAAGTTTTGGAAGATAAGTTATCGATAGGGGAAGCTACTGAAAAAGGAAAAAAAAACAGTTGAAAGATGAATAAAATATTAATGTTTCAAAAAATTTTTGTAAAAAAAACTAAATTTCGAATAAAAGTAAATAGCAGGAATTATAAAGTAGTTCAATTTATAACTGCACTTTTAATTATGGGATGTCCTTCAAAATCTGATTCTAAATCATTTTTTATTTTTATTTTTTATGTTACATGACTCCACTATAAATTTAACCCTTTCTGTTGGGAAAGTAACATTTTGTGGTGATCTTAAAAAGTTTCTTAAGATAAAATGTGGGAATGAATTTCATGTTTAAAAGAGTCAGATATTTTTTTTAGTTTAGGTACCCACTTTCGTTCTAAAAAATCATACACAGCTAATAAAGTTCAAAATTTTTAGTTTTGAAAAATAATTTCTATTTTAGTTTACGATTACTGGAAAAAAATGTTTGTACGAGCCTCAAATGTTAAAGAAATGCTTGTTTGTTAAACAGCGCCCTTTAAAAGTAAAACATTGGCTTAAGAATTATGATATTTCAACAGATTTTACGTAAAACACGATATTTTGACTATCAATTTATGGTAACTATTCAAATGACAATATTTTGATCTGAAACTCACTCTTTAAAAAAAAAAAAATGAGGCTGAAAACTAAAACTTAAATTTTTATTTTTTCTATCTTTACCCATTAATTTCCAAATCTTTTGTTCTCTCGCCAAGTTTCTGTGGTAACTCAATTATTTCATTTTTAAGATTTGACATTCGCGTTCACCAATATCTATTAATATATAAAGAAACTGTATTTTGTTCTGAAACTTTGCATATAAAATAATTTTCAAAACCAAAGAGACAATCACATAAGAAATTATCAGCTTAGCTGTAGCATTAATTACCATAACCACTAGTTCAAAGAGGTATACTTGACATCACTGCAACGTGTTAACAAACACAACGTCAGCAGAAAATGGGTAAACCTTAAATTGGCTGCTATCAATTAACTTTTAATAGAATGTTGAAATATTTAAATAAGAAATATACTTTGTTTGCATCCTCCACTATTTCTCTAAAATTAAACTAATATAACTTTAATAACATTACCATACAAAATAGGTTTTTGGATTGTAACTAAATATCTGGTATATAGATAAAATACCGTTCGTAGCGAATGGTATGAAGTAATAAGATAGATATATTATATTTGCCGCACTTTCAGATTTACTTTTGTGATTTATTGTAAGAATTTCTGTTAATTGGTTCAGTGTTACCGGTCTCAGGTGGCAAGATAAATTTGGATGACAATGATGAGATAGTCATATTCTAAAATTTGATAACAGCTTAAAGGAAAGTTTTATTTTTTGGAAAAAAAATTGTTGACATCACTGCAACCTGTGAACAAACCCAACGTCAACAGAAAATGGGCAAAACTTAAATTGGCTGCTATCAATTAACTTTCAATAGGATGTTGAAATATTTAAATAAGAAATATACTTTGTTTGCATCCACCACTATTTCTCTAAAATTAAACTAAATATTATTTTAAAGAAAGTTACCTTTTTGTATGGTAACGACATTTTTGGTATATAGATAAAATACTGTTCGTAGCGAATGGTATGAAGTAATAAGACAGAGATATTCCATTTGCCGCACTTTCACATTTAATTTTGTGATCTATTGTAAGAATTTCTGTTTAATTGGTTCAGTGCTACCGGTATCAGGTGGCAAGATAAATTTGGAGAATGATGATGAAATAGTAATATTCTAAAATTTGATAACAGCTTAAAGGAAATTTTTTTTGGGGGAAAAATTTTTTCTATTGTAGTTCGCGATTACTAGAAGAAAATTACTTTTAAGTGCCTCAAATGTTAAAGAAATGCATGTTCGTTAAACATCGCCATTTAGAAATAAAAAAATTAGTTGAAGAATTATGATATTTCAATTTTCGGTGAAACACGATATTTTGATCATCAAGGCATGGTAATTATTCAGATGACAATGTTTTGATCTGAAACTGACTCTTTAAAAATAAAATAAAAAATAAGAGTGAAAGCTAACACTTAAATTTTTACGTTTTCTTTCCTTAATTTCCAAATCTCTCGTTATCACGTTCACTCCGGGAAAAGTGAAAATACTGGTACGGGAAAAGAGAAAATACTGGTAGAGGAACTATTTCAATATTAGATAATATTCGGGAGGAGTTAATCTATTCTCAACAATAATAATTCACTGTAAGGAAATTTATCACGGCGAAGAAGCAATTCAATATAAAAATTGCATCCATTAAAAACAATTGGTAGTTATGGATTTTTATTATTCCCGGAAAAAAAACTAAAAAATGAAATTTATTGTTACCAGTTTTTACTCCGGTGCGCTGCCAAGATGCTCTATTATTGGTTTGCCTCATTCACTTGTCAACCACTACAGATTCAATTCTCAAATATGTATGATAAATTTCTCTTAATTACTTTTATGAAAGGTTTTGGGTTCATGCGCACGACTAGTTCACTTTTTAAACAGTCTGCGTGGACTACTTATAAAAGACAGTGTGGAGGCTTTCTGATGTAGGAGGTGATGACTAGGTCCGTTTACCACAGACTTGTATTTTTCGTCTGCTTTTAAGAAACCGACAATATGATCCTTAAATGCTGAGGCTGAACCACTTGTTGTTATCATAGGCCATTAACCCCTTAATGCACAGATTTTTTGAAAAAAACCGGCCAAAAAAATATATTTTTTTTATGTAACAAAAACACACTTTAGAGCATTGTCTTTCCTTTTGGTGGACAATTTCGATATACTACGCTTTTGTTCCATGGAAAAACGCTACATTCAGAGATGCTAACTGCTCTGGACACGCCAAAATGACTAAAAAAATGGTAAATAACTACAAGTACATTTTGCAATTAGCCGGCCAGGTGGCCGAGTGGATAGCGTGTCTGACAGCGGAGCCGATGGTCACGGGTTCGAATCCTGATCAGGACATTGATGTTTCTTTCTCTCTCTGTGTGTTCTACAATGGCGCTCACGTACTTAAGGACTGTGTTTTCAAAATAAATGCGTCATTATATTGGATGAATATTATGTTTTGATCAAGATATCTATAATGATGAATTCTACCTTAGTTGAACTTCAATCCTCACATAATTCATTCGTATTCACAAGTGTTTCATAAAAGTTTATTTAAAAAATATAGTATTTTGTTAAGTTTCTTATACTTAAGGACAGTTTGTCTAATCATGAGTTATTGAATGATTACAATCAATTTATTGATCAATGTAAGTGTAATTTACTACATTATCTTTGTTTGATGCTTTGAAACATTATATTAATACTTTTTTTCTTTTTTTTAGTACAAATTTCAACATTATTATGAATAAAGGTAAAAATGTTAGCAATGAACAGAGATGTCGAATAGATACTCTGAGAAAAAAAGGTTTAAGCATTAGAAAAATTAGTAGGCGGTCAAAATTATCAAAAACAGCAGTTTTCCAAGCATTGAAATCTATTCAAGTGACCAAAAGTATTGAAAAATCATCCCGAAAATCACGTCCTCGCAAAACTACCGAACGAGAAGATTGAATTATTCATCGAATTTCTGACACTGATCGTCGCAAAACCGCCCCGGACATCAGAAAAGAATTCGCTGAATTAACAGGCAAGCAGATAACAAAAATAATATCAAACGGCGTTTGAATGAGTTTCGTCTTATGGGTCGCGTATGTAGGAGAAAACCGTTGATGTCAAAGAAGAATATAGCAGCTCGATTAGCTTTTGCAAAAAGACACCGAAACTGGACATAGGCTGACTGGAATCGAGTTATATTTACAGACGAATCGAAGTTCAACAGAATGGGCTCAGATGGCAAAAGTTATGTGAGGTGTCGAGTCGGTGAAGAATTTAATGTACTGTCTACGAAATCAACTGTGAAAGGTGGAGGCGGATCGGTGATGGTGTGGGGTGCCATGACACGTTCAGGATGTGGTCCAATTCACAAAATCAAAGGCATCATGGATCAGCATGTGTATGTGGACATTATCAAGACTGTTTTTCTGCTTGATTACAGGAAACTTCGCTCAAGAAAACCAATCATGCAAGTCGATAATGATCCAAAGCACACGAGCAAAACTGCGAAAGCCTTCTTGTCAAGCAAGAAAATTGAGGTTTTGCAGTGGCCTTCCCAATCACCAGATCTCAAACCAATCGAGATGCTGTGGATAGATGTGGATAAATATGTGAAACACCAAAAACCAAAAAATTTAGGTGCTTTATGGAAATGTGTCCAAGAAGGCTGGGCGATACCTCCAGAGCGATGTCAAAAATTAGTAGATTCGATGCCTCGTAGATGTGAAGCAATAATTGCCGCAAAAGGCTTACCGACAAAATACTAGCTTCAAATCTTTATTTTTTGTTAAATTTTTTGCATTGTTATTAATTTTATTAACGATTAAGAAATATTTATTTTGTTGTCCTTAAGTATGTGGAATGCATATTTTTTCTAAAATGTTACATAATTTAAGTATAACAGTTAGATAAATGATTTTCATTGTGAAAATATATTAAAAATAAGTTATTTGTTCCA